ATTCCCTACCACCTGCACTATTTAAGGATGGAGGTGAGGTCCTCTGCAAAGCACTGACCTCCCTATTCGAACGTATCTGGAACGAAGAGAGTGTGCCGGCTAATTGGAGCGAATCGATTATAGTGGCAATATACAAAAAGGGCAGTCGCACAGACTGTGCGAACCACAGGGCTATTAGCCTAACGCCAGTTGTGACAAAATTACTGGCCTCGATTATCGTTCGTCGCCTCACTGCAGAACGGGAATCTCGGATTAGAGAAGAGCAGGCCGGTTTTCGCCCAGGACGTGGCTGTATAGACCATATATTTACTTTGCGGCAGGTGCTAGAGCAGCGCCACGCATACCGCAGACCGACAATAGCTGTGTTCCTCGATTTCAAGAGTGCGTTCGATTCAGTCGATCGATCGATTCTGTTCGAAATACTTGCGCGGAAAGGTGTTCCCACGAAATATGTGAACATCCTTCGTGCTCTATACTCGAACACTAGAGGCCGCGTCAGGGTCTATGGTGCCCTATCGGATAGCTTTTCGACTACAAGTGGCGTTCGACAGGGTTGCCCGATTTCCCCGTTTTTGTTCAATTTCGTCGTGGATTCTATCATGGAGTGTTCCCTTGCGGAATCTCACGATGTAGGTGTTGAAGTGCTGCCTAGTGAACGGTTAGTTGATCTAGATTATGCGGACGATATCGTCTTGCTTTTCGACAATGTTGTGGCGGCACAATCAACCCTGAATAGCCTATCCAGAGTGGTCCCATTATTTGGTATGCACTTCGCACCTTCAAAGTGCAAAGTGTTGCTGCAGGACCACCAGCCACTCGATGACCCCTTGACGCTTGCTAACGAGGAACTCGAGGTGGTTGATCAATTCAATTATCTTGGCAGCTGCATCAGCAATGATGGGCGCATAGAAACTGACGTGAGCTCACGCATTGCAAAGGCCAGAGCTGCCTTCTTGAACCTGCGTCATCTTTGGCGACAGAAGGGAGTTTCCCTCCGTCTGAAAGGCCGTGTATACAAGGCCACAGTGAGGGCCGTTCTGCTTTATGGTAGTGAGACTTGGCCCCTTCGGTCTGAAGATCTGAGGCGCCTTCAAGTCTTTGATCATCGTTGTTTGCGAAGCATTGCTGGTGTCGGATGGCTCCAGCGTGTCCGCAACGATGATGTGCGTAGGCGAGGACTAGGTGGTGATGATCATGCTAGCTCCCTAGAACAACAGATAGCACTGAATAAGTTACGTTGGCTCGGGCACGTGCTACGCATGCCTGGTCACCGCTTACCTAGGAGAGCCTTGTTCAGTCTACCAGGTGTCGGATGGCGCAAGGCTCGAGGTGGACAGAAGTTGACTTGGCAGCGGGAAATGAAGTCACTGACGACCAAACTGGGTGCCGTTGGTCCGTCTCGCCTTCCGGGTTGGAGTCCACGTGACTCACCTTGTGCTTGGCTCGAGACTTTACAGGACATGGCTCGCAACCGACACCAGTGGCGCGTCTGCTGCCGTCTCCTAATCGGATTGTCTGTTTAAAGTGTGTTTGGTGCTGAGTTATCTGCAGGGTAATGGCTGATTATGACGCGGGGCAGTGAAAGCCGCAAGGAAGCTGTCTCGCCGATGCCGCCTTATCTTTGCACGATAGCCAGCTGTTTGTGACGGAATGTTGTCTACACAAGGTGTAGGGGCCTTGACCCTGAATGTTTGCTTAGGGCATTAAGGTTTTCAGGTAAGTCCCCCTTCTCTCCCTCTTCTTATTCTTTATTTCATAGGTCTTCATGGTTGTATGGCAGCGAAGCATCTGTTCAAATGGCTGATGTACTGCTCTTCCTTTAATGAAGGTAGCGACAGTTCCCGGGTTCTGCTGATCACTACAGTATCGGCTGTGCAGTAGGTTTTCTGAATAGTAGAGATTAAGCGCTTGGTTGTTCTCGTTGTGACGGCGCTACCCATGTATGGGAGCTCGAAGTACACATTTTCCTTAGGTGCTGTCAACACGGTTTCCTTCGGCGGTCTGACCTGGCTGTTTCTCGATAAAACGCTTAGAGTAACCGGTTTCCATGAGCGTTCTGGTTATTGTCTCTATCTACTAAACCAGACAATCGTCCGAACAAATACGCCTGGTACGAGTGAACAAGATTTTCACCAGTGCACGTTTGTGGCCCATCGGTGTGAAAGTAGTCAAGTGTAGATATTGAGCAGGCCATGTCGGTTTCCGGTAAAAGGACTGCTTAACGAAGTCGAAGATAGTAGAATAGAATCAACAGTCTAATAAATAGACAGAGCCAGAAGAGCTCGAAAATGGATGACCCGAATATACAACAACTTATGGAGATATCCGTGCTAACTTATCAGTAAAACACGGAAAGTAAACCTTAAGTGCACTCAAATTAAAAACCTTTAGATACCTTTACGCACATACTCATTGTAATTACTAGGTCAATGTTGGCATCAATAAATTGAACTGCAGCTCAATTTTTTGTACTGTGTTGTGCAAAACGCGCCTAAAGAGATTTATTACCAGTACTGAAATCTCCGATTGATAGCCGAATTTCTGGACTCGGTAGGCTTGATCGAAACGAATAAAACGGCTCCGTCTGGATACAAATCTCGAAATATCCTAAACCCCAAAAAACGGCGCATGGCCAGGAGTCTAACAATTGATCTGGGGTGCCGGGGATGGTGGTGGCCAATGGGGTGAAGAAAAATAGTGATATCGAGAGCATGGGTGTTATTCGAGGTACTTATGACGCAGTGACGTAAGTACAAAAGTCTTTGCGCTGTGCGCTTTTCTGATGTCACCTCGGTATAACGGCAATTTTCCTGACTGCTTCTTTTTGGATTCGCATTGCCATAGCGGCGTTTTGTGAAAGGCCTCTCCTGACTGGTCGAGAACTACGGATCCAAATGAACCGACGAAGGAAACAATGGGGTAGACCCAACGCCTCTCAACTGGTCTCGGATTATAGCCAATATAAGGTTAGAAATCTTTGTTTTCTAAAGAAGCACGAGAAGGGGCGCCATTATGAAGGGAATCTGACTGAACAGTCCCGGTCCACGCCCAAAAAGCTCCATGCGTATAATAACAGAAGGACCAAAGCCAGATGTGACATACCCGCGCTGTTATCCCACAAGACCAACTCTGTACTGTACGAGGATGATGCGAAAGCGGATCTTCTGGTAAGGCATTAATCCTCCGTAGACTCGCTGGAAGCTCAGTCTACCAGCAGCTACGAGTCTAAACGTTCCTAGTCTGCAACAGTTCGAACACAACACGGTAACTATCATGAAACTCATACTAGAGCTAGATGCAAACTCCTTGCCGGGCCCTGATGGTCTTCATCCCCTGTTCCACAAGATAGTGGCTGGACGCATCAACCAAGTCTTCCCCTTGTCATTAAAAAACGGTCGTCTACACTTCGACTAGAAAACATGTATCGTGATGCCAAAGCACAAAACAAGAACCCCCAGTGAGCTATCAACATATTTGCATGACATGGATAATCTACAAGATCGTGAAAAAGTTATTAAACGCGCTCCCCAGAAGCACTGTGATGAATTAAACATCACATCCCATACACATCGTGGATATCAAAAGGGACTCTCTTGCACCACTAACCTGCCAGTTGCGAGAGGAAAATGAGCAAGATCAATAGATACCGGTCAATGATTAAACATTGTCTTCGGCGATTTTAGCAAAGCATTTGATAAGGTTCCACACCAACGGCTACTCAGTTAGTTCCGCGAAATTGGGGTCAATGGCAATCTTTCGTACTGGATAGTGGGTTTTCTAGACGGAAGAACTATGCAAGTGAAGGTAAACGAGACACTTTCTCATCCAATACACATGAACAGTGTTCCGTAAGGTTCTGTACCCGGGCCTGAACTTTGTAAGCTCTACTTTAACGACATTCCTGGATTACTTCAAAATGAATATCTAATCTATGCATATAAGCTATGGTCTGAGGTACCCGACCTTGATGTCGCTGATAGACTACAGGACTGGGTAGATGTATTACACCAGTGGTCCATCGAATGCGGCTTACCCATCAATTCTGAAAAATGTTGCATCCTTCCGATAGGTGCGTCTGAGCCACTCGGTATCTATCATATTGGTTTCCTTCTCAAGAATGCTGTTCACTAGAAATACTAGAGTGCAATAATTGCTTCTAACCTAAAGACCACCTAGAATACGCTGAGGAGCGGCCGTTGCCAACAGGGTGTGCTCCGCCATAAGGTCATTCTCCCGAATGACACCGGATATCTTTAGGGCTCTATTTATTTCTCACGTGCGCCCAAGCCTACAGTATGGCTTAACAGCTGTCTCTCCACTCTCAAAATTGGAATGTACCCTGATTGAAAAGGTCCAGAAACGTGATTCGAAGTTTGTCTCTGGACTTCTGAACCTCTCCTATCGCCTTCGGCGTCAATGGATGAACCTTTTCTCTCTTGACTACCGTCGCCTCCGCGGGAACCACATCTTCACCAAGCGCATACTAAGGGGGAACTTGGAAACGAGCTACAACAGTTTTTCCAGCTCAATACAGGTTCGACAGGAGGTAACGAGTCGAAACTCTTCAAACCGAGGAGACTGTATGTTCACTCTGCTGTCGCCGTATCCACCCGGGTGATAAGCAACTGGAATCGCATTCCGGAGAACGTTATCAATTCTCAGTCAGAGGAAGGTTCCAAGCGGCTCTTAGACTGTTACTTGTGTAAGATATCAAGATTGCACTGTTCTACTGCGACTGCTCCAGTCCACTAGGACTGCTGGTCGCAATGACATGCTCATGTTCCGAACGGGAGGTGATGGGGCTGACATGGAACCTCACTCTGCCCTCTACAACTCAATGAACTCTATGAAAGATATTAAACGTTTGGCCGTGTTTCACTAACGGTGCTTGCGCAGTATTGCTCATATTACGACACCAAGTACTGCAGAAATGAAATGTTTAAGGTAAAGTGATTTGGTGAGAGTACTGTCAACCGATCGTAAATAAATGCCATAATTACCTTTGGGCATAAAAGTGACTTAGGAATAATATTCAGTTAGTAACATCTCCTGGTCAATACTGCGAGTAAATGAAAGCCAGAAAAGGCTAATTGTTGTTGGGAAAGTGTAATATTCCTCCGGTCCGGTGTCCCAAGACCTTGCGTGTCTAAATAGTGACGGGCCGTAATAGACCCTTAGAGCTGCAATGCAAAAGAAATACCTCGTAGATGGCTGGGTGCTCAACCGCTTAGTAAGAGGCCGATGTAAGAAAGCACGGAAGAGGGAAGGAAAAGTGCCGGAAAGGAATAAGGTGGTAAGGGTAACAGGAAGCAAAACCGTTGACCTCTTACTCGTTAACGTGTTATCGTTACGCCCGTGGACCGGCTACATTATCCCCCCTCTTAGCAAGCGCTGTTCTCAGCGCCCATAATGGCCCATACCGGCATCAACTTATGGACCTGCGAGATATTGAGCGCGGTACATTAGGCTAGGGAGATTCAACGACAAGCAGCACGATAGCAGAAGTTAACTATTGCCTCAAGGGCTACAATCTAGTTTTGTGGACTGCTTTCGTGAACTGGCAGCGTCGCCAAATATGTAATATTCCTCCGGTCTGGCGTTCCAAGATCTTCCGTGTCTAAATAGTATGACGGGCCGTAATAGACCCTAAGAGCTACAACACGAAAGAAATACCTCGTAGACGGCTGGATGCTCAACCGCCTGATTGGAATCATTGGAATGTAGAGAGCAAAATAGAAGACCTTTGACAGCTCCATCACCTCCCAACCATAACAAGTGTTTGCGCAACAGCAATCAACAAGTTAGGTTGTCACAGTTGCATAAGAAATAAGATCCCTGCAAACTCAACAAGTATAAACCCAACAATCGTTTAAAACATTCCTTAGTATGCGCGTTGACGACGGAATCAGGCAAGGAGTTCCAGTCGTTCACCACACGAGTCGATAGGGTAAAATCCGAGTGGGGCCTGAGTCTCCTAGGTTTAAACGGTTTCCAGCAGTGGCCCCGAGCCGGACACTCTAGAAGAAACTTTGGAGCTCGATTGCCATCTCACCACGCAGAATGCGCTGGGAGTAGACCAGATTGCCTGGGCGACGCCGAAATGACAGAGAGAACCTATTCAAGTGCTGGAGACGAATGTGATATGGCAGATGTCGTCGTTCAACGATGCACTTAGAACCCCGCCGCTGAACTTTCGCAATCAAGCCATGTCCAAACTTTGTAAGCGGATGAGCTGCAGGTAATCCATGTTCGAGGATTGGACGCAAGTGGGAGGAAAACACAAGTCTGAAAATCTCTGGAGTCAATCGTGAGAAGGCACTTCGGATAGAGCACAGTAGTCTGTTAGCCGCCGCAACCCTCTTCAAAATATCCTGGGTGGTTTTTAGATCAGAGCATACAATAACCCCAAAGTCTCTTTCCTGTTTCACATTATTAAGCAAATAACCACCAAGGTGGTAAACACCGAATTGTTCAGTAGCACCAATGGGGAGTACAGAACATTTAGTGCGATTTATAGGCAACTGCCATTTAATTGACAAATCGTGCAGCCGATCAAGTGTATTTTGGAGTCGGTCAGCATCCTCAGCGCTGGATACCTCCATCCATAACTTCAAATCGTCAGCATAGATCAAACATTCGGTCCGAAGAGTTGAAGGAGGATCGTTAATAAAGAATTCGGTCAACTCTGGTCCAAGAACAGAGCCCTGAGGGACGCCACTGCTCATAAGGACGCGGACTGAATACGCATCATTGACCTTAAGTCGCGTAACTCGATCTGAAAGGAAATCAGGGATCCACGACAGAACCCTCCCAAAGACACTAATTTCTTGAAGTTTGAACAAAAAGCCGATCATGAGGAACTTTGTCAAACGCTTTGCTGAAATCAACGTAGATAACGCCCATACGTTTGCCCGCATCCAGTGAGTTCGCCCATTTCTCTCTGGCAACTAGCAAATTGGTGGTACACGAGCGTGACTTACGAAAGCCATGCTGAGCAGTAGTAATCACACTCTGGTCGTCGAAGTAAAGACTGAGAGCTTCATTGAGAATCCGTTCCATAGTTTATACATTACTGGTGTTAGGCAAACGGGACGATAGTTTGCTGGGTCTTGGCGATTCCCTCATTTATATTTGGGCTTGACAATGCCCAGCTTCAAGGCTAATGAAAAGTGTCCGGACTCAATAGAGAAACGAAACACATGACAAGCTGGGGCTGCAATGTATTTAGCCACGGTCTTGAGAAACAGGGTGCAGACCATCAAGACCGGGCGAGGTGGTCGGATCTAACTGGAGAAGGAACTAAATAACAGTTTCCGTACTGATCTCAGAATAGTCCAGAAAAGGTGAGCGCGAAAGTGCGAGGTCAGAAAACGAAGTTTCATTTGTATAAACGGATGAATACTGTTGAGGTAAGAGATTCGCTTTTGCAGCATCCTCATGAAGTAAGGCAGTGTTTACTGGAATACAGAGATGGAATGCTATTACCACCTTTGGTGACCTCTTTCAGATATGAGAACATTTTGGGGGAGCACCTGGACCACACAGCCAATTGAAACTCGTAGTTCTGGCGATTCCCCCGCTCCTTCAGGATACAAAAGTTCACAAGTGTTTATATTCCAAGTAGTCGGCAGCCGATTGTGTACACTTGCATCGGTCCCATAAGTTGCTTCTTTTGTTCGTCAGGGATCTCAACTGCTTGTCGATCAAAGGAGGGCCTCTTTTTCAAAAAATGAGAACAATCTGGTTGCTTAGCGACATCATTTTGGAGTAAAAGTGAGTCCAAGCATCGTCAACAGTCAAAAAATGTGGAATGGTCCAGTCCATGTTAGAAGCAGCCTCCTAGACGCTGTGCATCGGATCGCCAGAAATTACGCCGGAAATCACCTTCGTCATGAATGGAAAATGGGAATGTTCTCAATGCATTATCGTCGCCATCGAAAGGACCTGGTCTTGACCTATCGCATACTTACCGGAAAAATCGGACCCGATTTATCTGGGCTTTTCCAACCGGCTCGGCTTTCATCTCTCCGAGGTCACACGATGAAGCTACACAAACCTCGATCGGACGGAGTCCGGGCGGACTTTCGTTAATCACGCCTAGTAGTGAATTCCTGGAATGCACTAGCCGAGGACGTGGTATTGGTACCCACAGTGGAAGAGTTCGAACAACGACTTGACGCTCTTGGCCTTCAATTATTAACATGCCCCTCCACATCCTAGCTTATTAGCTTTATTGAAATATTAAATCTATTAATTGTTGCTTCTTGAAGCTCTTATTACTTTCGTATTTCGGTTTCTTATTTCACGTGACCGGTGCGGCGGGGACTGCCAATGTAGTTCGCGTGGGTATTAATTGGTTGACCGTGGTGATTCGCGCGCGCTGATCTGACTCTTCTGGATTCCAGTTATCGCGGACGGATAATACCCTGGAGCAACGATGTGCCACGAAAGGAACATTCACGGGGATTTATCCAACTGTTCCAGTCCCACTTGAACTTGATCACTTACCAAGAGATTGCATAACAACCAGGTCGACGACATTTGACGGCATCGGGGAGAGCACTAGATAAAGAATGTTCGGCGTGTGGCCTGAGAACAACCGAATGGGTGAAAATACATGCTGAAACAAGTTACAAATGAGAACGGTCTAAAGTAGAAGAGTATCAAGAGTCAGAAGGAAGACCACAATAAAGCAGGTCCCACTCAATGCCAAGTCCACTGAAGTATCCAGCAATTAAGCAGTCCTTTGGCGTGCGATTTAATTAAATTTAGTAAAAGAGCTCCTGAACCCAAGAGAGATCTATGGGCGATACATACCAGGAGAGATTGACACCCGTCATGAATACATCACAGAGATTTTAAACCACCATCTATATCACAAGTAGCATCGAGTAAATGTGCCTTGAGGTCCGCCCTCCAACAGAGTTTAACACCAGCGTCTGACCTCGCTCCGTGGCGATCAGCCCGGACATATACTTCCGAGTCACGGATGTCCGGGGATAGCCACGTCTCAGAGAAAGCCATCAAATCAGGGTGATTGCCGATGGCAAGAAGTTGAACGTCCAATATGTTCCGCAAACAGCGCACATAAGCGGACAACACGCAAACCGTCCTTCGACCTTACTGTCCGGGTAGGACAAGGATAGATCTACAGCGAGTTCTCGGGGTTTTCCGAACCACTCGAAAATCCACAATGCAAAGGTCCGCCTCACCATTTGCTCGGCGGGTCCGGAGTTCATCAACTGCACTCTTCATTTTTATCCGATCCTCAGGGGACTGATCTCTCAAAACATAAAACGAATCTCCTTTAAAACGTGAAGTGCGTCGGAGGATGCGCCTGCATTCATCTTCATTCTGGCATACGATCTTCTTAAGAGGGTAAGACTTTAAAATCGATGTGGATCGTCTTCTTGAAATATCGGCACTGTACATGCACGCAGGCAAATATACCAGTAGATTCCTTTCTGATGGATCTTTCCATCTCGGAAGCTCAGGTACTCAAGCTCCTGCGTGACCTGAATCCCACTAAAATTGCCGGGATAGATGCCCTCCATCCCAAACTTTGTGTACGAGCTGGCTGAGTTGCTGTGTAAACCGAGTAAATGTATCTTTGAGTAGTCTCTTCTGAATACTGAATACTCCCAACCTGCTGAGTGGAGAGATGCTATCATGTACCCTATTTTCAATAAGGGTAATAAGTATCTACCTGAAATTATAGATCGGTTAGCCTAACAAGTGTACTAGTGAAAGTATTAGAGAAGCTGGTAAGAGATACTCTGGAGAATCACTTAGCTAAGTAAAGTTTGCTCAGCTCGTCTCAACATGGGTTCCGCAGAGGCCACTCCTGTTTGACTAACATATTGGTAGCCCGAGAGTGCTGGGCAGAGGCTGTGGATCAAGGACAGGCGGTGGATGTTGTGCTCATCGACTTTCCAAAAGCTTTTGACACCGTATCGCATTGCCGTCTTTTGTTTTAACTAGAATTCTACGGCGTCTCAGGCTAAGTATTGAAGTCGTTTTCGGCTATCCTAGAAGGAAGGCAGATGAGAATTCGAGTGCTCCGGACTGTCTTTCAGACAAGCCGTCCTGAGTGGTGTTCCTCGGGGGTCGGTTCTCGGACCGCTACTGTTTGCACTGTATGTCAATGACCTCCATGAGAAGCTTAAGATCCCCTCCCTTATGTTTGCGGATGACTTAAAAGTTTGATAGTGGGCGATACTGTTGGACCCACGGCTTTGCAGACAGATCTCGACAAGCTTTGGGAGTGGTCAGAATTGTGGCAGCTGCCAGTCAATCTTGCGAAGTGTTCGGTCCTGCGCATAGGATAAAGCACTTCCACAACTCCTTACGTACTTGGCGGAAATGCAGTGCGTCAAGTGACTGAACAAACCGACTTGGGTATCTCGCCATCCTCTGAGTTCAAATCCAGCGAGAACTGGACAAATGCTACCCGCAAGGGTTTCTGAATGCTGTGGATGATCCGCAGATCGTTCGGCATCATAACAAATGAAATGTTTGTTACATTGTTCTCAGCCTTTGTCACGCCACACTTGGAGTACTGCGTGCATGCCTGTCTTCCATGCTTGGTACGCGACAAGATGACACATGAACGAGTTCTGGGGGTTGGTACAAAAATGGTACAAGGATTGAGGCATCTCTCGTATCCTGATAGGCTGCTCAGGTTGCAGATGTTTTCGGTGCACTATAGGCGCCGTCGGGGAGACCTGATTCTTACGTACCGTATATTGACCAACAAGATTGAGCATGATCTAACTAGACTATTCCATCCGGCTCAGATACTATCTCTTCGTGGTCACCCTCTGAAGCCGCATAAGCGCAGATCTGATCGCGTTAGAGCTGACTCGTTTGTCACGCAGGGTCATCGACTCATGGAACGCATTACACAGCGAAGTAGTATTAGCACCAATAGTGAAGGAGTTTGAACATCGACTTGACGCCCTTGGGTTGCGGTTTCAGATCTTTCCTTTTGGTTCTTAAGTTCTACATCCATTTTCTTGGCTACTCACACCTAGTACTGTTACTGTCTTATAAACACATTCACCTGTACTACAATTATCATTATTTTGTTTTGTCGATTCCCTTCTCTTGGCTTTTATTCTTATTCACGTGGCCAATACAGCGGGGACTGCTAGTGCAGGCCGCGTGGGCATTGATTGGTTGACCGTGATGTGATTCGTGTGTATTCAAGTTCAAATGGGACTGGAACGATAGAATAAATCCCGTAAGTGTCCCTTCTTGAGCGGGTCGTCGACCCAGGAGTTGATAGAGGTGTTCCGACTTCTTGAAGGGTCTAAAAGGAAAACACTCGAAAACACCCTGGTCCACCAAGTTAATGCCCACGTTCCTTACATTAGCCGTCCCCGCTGTCGGTTACGTGAAGTAAGAGAGGAAAAAAAAGCGAAGGTAAGAGAGTAAGGGAAATCAGTTAAAAGAAAATAATACCAATGGCGAGGAAAAGTAAAGAAAAATAGAATCGGAGTATGAAGATGGGAATTTGTCAGAAAAAAAGAAAGGTTTCGTGTTGCCACCCAAGAGCGTCTAGTTGATGCTCAAACCCTTTAACCGTAGCTTCCTTGACAACATGTTCTGGAAGCAGGTTCCAGCATTCGATGACTCGACGCGATAACCGTGTCTCCTCTCTAACTCGATCGGACCGCGGTTTGTCCAGCTTCATACAATGCCCGCGGAGACCAGACAACCTAGCAGGACTAAATAGCCAGGACAAATCAGGGCCAACCTTCCCAGTCAAAATACGGTAAGTTAGGATTAGGTCCCCTCTAATCCTTCGATAGTGCATTGACTGCATCCCCAAACTAAGTAGGCGTTCGGGGTACGTTTGTCCCCGTAATCTTTTGACCAACCTAGTACCGACACACAACACCCTTTCTAGTGCCATTTTGTCCCGACAAGACATGGTGGACAGGTTTGGACGCAATATTCTAGGTGGGGTCGCACAAACGCTGAGGAGAGTTTCACAAACACATCAGCGGTTAGGGTCCCGAAAGAACGACGGATAAACCACAACATCCGGAACCCTTTACTAGCCGCCTTCTTCCAGTTGTCTGCAGAGTGTAGTGTGGAACAGTGGACGACACCTAGATCAACCTGATGAGTCACGTGAGGAAGTTCATTCCCATCGAGCACATAAATTGTGGAAGAAGCAGGCACTCCGATAAGCAGCACTGAACATTTTTCCAGGTTTATAGGCAGCAACCACAAGACAGACAATTCCCAGAGTCTATCCAGAGCCCGTTGAAGAGCCACAGGACCTCCAGGTATTGATTTGGCTCCTCTCGGTTTCAGATCGCTCCCGCGAACTCCATCCTGGTTCAACGACGCATTGAAGAAAGAACACACATGTGAATTTTTCTACCGGTCCTGTCCAAATTGAACTTGAATGAAGTTTGTGTCCAGCCGTAGACGGTTGGATGCTCAACCACCTGATAAGAGGCCGATGAAACAAGAATCAATTTATTAGGAGAATAAGATAGGAATCTATGTGATCTCTATCATAAGTAAAGCAAAAATGACCCATGCCGAATATGGGTCTGTGTGAATGCACATCAATAGTCGTTTAGTAATAAGCAAACAAAATACCGATATATAAGCACAAAGAAAGCACTACGTGTCTTGGTCTTTTAGGGTTGCTAGTGTAGCCGTGACATAACCACGCGACGAAAGGAGGTCAAACATGGCGTCTGCATCGAAACACAAGTCTGAAAAATGTTTGTCAATGCTTCGTTTGAAACACTGCACTGAATCAGAAAGAACAACGGAACTGGGCAACCAGTTCCAGAAATGTATCACACGTCGCGCGAAACAATATGAGTGACATTGTCCATACGTGAACTTCTAGCTTGTAAGAATGCCCTCGGGTGATAGGTGCATCCACAATACAGAAAATATGTCTCAGGTGAGGAAAATGTCTCAGGTGAAGGATTCTAAACGTTGTAATGAGGTCAATTTGTAATCTCCTGTATACTAGTGTATGGAGACGTAACTTGTGGCACCTCTGGTGGTAAGATAAGCCTCGGAGCGTGGGGATCAGGCGGATGACTAGGTGCTGGACTTTTTCCAGTTTTCTCATCTCACTTTTTGTGCTTGGATAATAGGCCGGTGCCCCGTATTCTAAAAGCGGGCGCGCCATGGAGACGTATAGCCTGACAGCAATTTCCTCTGACCAAACGTGGAAGGTCTGCTTTTATGACCAAAACATGCGAAGGCTGGAACAGTAGACCTTGTGCGTATTGTCTGACGATTTTAAGTCCCATCGGGATAGTACTCCTAGATCTCTAACCGTCGCAGCCGAGCACAGTAGACGTCCACCGATACTGTAAGTTCTGTCTCGACAACACTTGCCAATGCGGAGCAATTCGGACTTTTCAGCATTCAGTGGAAGGCAGTTTGTTGATGCCCATGAGGAGATTGTATCGAGATCACTTTGCAGTACATCCTCATCGACGGGGGTCGATATTTCCCTCCAAACTTCCACATCATCTGCGAACAGCGCGCAAGTAGACGTCAATCGTCCTGGTAACTCGTTGTCTGAAACAGAAAAAGCAGCTAAGGAAGTAGCAAAGACGGAAGGAAAGTTGCCGGAGAAAAATAAGAGGGTAAGGGTAACAGGAAGCAAAACGGATTGACCTCTCACCTATTAACGTGTTATCGTGACGCCCGCGGACCGGCGAGAGTGGCTAATTTTTGACATGAAAAATAGACCTGGAGGGGTTTTGTTTTCCGGTACACCAGGCTAAATGGTGATGCTTTCATAACTGCTTTTGAAATACATGTTTATGGGTCGCTTTGTGCTTAAGTATGTATAAAGAATGATAGTTTGTAAGCTATATTAGTTGTAAATTGTGCTTTCATTCATCGCCATTTTAAAAAATTCAAAAATACAATAATCATACAAGAGACATGTATACCCATTATCCAAACAAGTAACTTACTGCAAGTATAAAATTTACATACACGCAACAATTGTATTAACACTTATATGCACCATAAATCAGCCGTTTAGTCTACACTTATGTTTAGCATTTGCTTGCTTTACATTATGCCGTGAACTTCACTTCATCACTTAAATTTAGCATGACCGTTTCCACGAAGCAAATCCATCCAGCATTATTTTCCATTTCCCTGCACCTTAATACCACCAACATTAAGAATATACTTTGCAGCCACTCAAACAAACTTGGCTGTTACCGAGGACAACGATAGCGAAACCCTTTCCCGCCATGACAAAAATTAGCCCTTCCCGCGGACCGGCTACAAAAGCAGCCGTACGGGGCGCTATATTTGGCTGGCCACTAGTGGCAAGGCAAACAGTATGAATTCAAGATGGCGATGCTATCCGATTGGCTGCATAGAGATGATTAGAATTGCGTGGAGATGCGTACTTTCTAGTCAGCTTTACCTGCAAATGTGTGTTTTAATGCACCGATATGATGATTACCATTGGTAACCGTTAGCACAAAAATGAAAGATGTCAATAAAGGTGAAGGTCGATGAGTTACAATCTGGTAGGTACAAATCACGCAATATCATACTTCTTTCTTTGGAAAACGAGGCAATAAAGTGATATACATCTGGCAGCTGTGAGTAGCTTATTGACAGTCAAAATGATTGTCCATTCCTTGAAGCATACCGGTGAGATCCATTTCGCATGGAGAAGGTTCTGATCGTATTCTGGAAAGCTCTGTGGTCGTATTATGATACATAAAAGGGTTGTAGAAGTTATCAGGTTACAGTAAAATGCTAAGTAATGAAACTAATACACCAACTGTGATAAGCACCTCCCTGATAACTATAGACCGGTCAGTTTAACGAGCGTGCTGGTCAAGTTATTGGAAAAGCTCGTGAGGGACGCTCTCGAAGGACATTTGAAAGCGTTTGACTTGCTTAATCCTTCTCAGCACGGTTTTCGTAAGGGCTATTCTTGCCTTACTAACTTGTTAACCGCTCGTGAACACTGGGCCGAAGCCGTTGATTGCGGGAAGGCAGTAGACGTGCTGTTTATTGACTTTTCCAAAGCTTTTGACACCGTTCCACATTCATGCCTTTTGTACAAGCTGAATTCCTTTGGTATTTCTGGACCAGTCTTACGATGGATTTCAGCTTTCCTAATCGGAAGGGAAATGTGTTTGCGGGTGGGTTCAAGCTTGTCCTTCCGCCAATGTGTTCTCAGTGGCGTGCCGCAAGGTTCGGTTCTTGGCCCCCCTTCTCTTCACTTTATACGTTAATGACCTACCTGATGAATTGGGTGTGCCATCCCTAATGTTTGCGGATGACTTAAAACTCTGGTTCACGATAGACGAGCCGATTGGTCCACTGACCCTACAGGAGGCTTTGGATAGACTTTGGGACTGGTCAATTTTGTGGCAGTTGCCAGTTAATTTAGGGAAATGTTCCGTTCGACGCGTTGGTCCGAATGACCCGCCGACGCGTTATTTGCTTGGCGGCAACGAGGTACCGCGAGTTCAACTCCAATCTGACCTCGGTGTTTTGCTGTCATCTGACTTCAAGTCTAGTGAACACTGGAAGACAGCTGCTCGTAAAGGCTTCAACATGTTGTGGATGATCCGCAAGTCATTCGGGATCATGACCACCGACATGTTTGTTAGACTATTTTCGGCTTTTGTAAGGCCGCACTTAGAATACTGCGTCCAGGCTTGTCCTCCATGCCTGGTTCGTGATAAGATGGCAGTTGAACGAGTCCTGCGGTCCGGGACGAAAATGGTGTACGACTTAAAGAAGCTGACGTACCCGGAGAGGCTACGTAAGTTGGATATGTTTTCCATGTATTACAGGCGGCTTCGGGGCGACTTGGTCCTTACATATCGTATATTGATGGGTCAGATTGGTCCTGATTTGACTGGACTGTTTCGCCCAACTCGAATGCCAAGCCTTCGTGGCCACCCATTAAAGTTGCACAAACCCCGGTCTGACCGGGTTTTGGCAACTTTTAGATTATCGCGTAGGGTTATAGCTTATTGGAACACATTGCCTGCAGACGTCGTGATGGCACCGACGTTGAAAGAGTTCGAGCATCGACTTGACGCTCTCGGTCTGCAGTTTAAAGTCTTCTCCTTCGTGTCTTAAACATTTCTGCGTCTGTTACGTCTTACGCTTCTTTAACTCATTTTAACTTACATTTTAATATTGCCTACGATATTAGATTAGCTTGTCTTCTCTGTTTTCTTTTTTTACTGACACTACTGTTTTCTTTTATTCTTCACGTGGCCGGCACAGCGGGGACTGCTAATGCAGGGCACGTGGGCATTGTTTAGTTGACCATATGAATCGTGTGTGTTGATTTGGCTCTCCTTTGGCACATCAAGGCACCGGTTTCCCTGTTGGATCAACGACGTTTTCAAAGGTGGAACACTCGCGGGATTTTCCTACTGTTCCGGTCCCAATTGAACTTGAACTTGAACTTGAACTGTCTAGACATGGATAGAGATATCGGTTCACGACGAAGTGAAGAAGGTTTCAGATTCAGATTCAGATTCAGATGGACTGGAACGATAGGAAAATCCCTTGAGTGTTCCTTCTTGAGCAAATCGTTGAGCCAGGAAATGATAAGGTGTTAGTTCTTGATAGATCTAAAACGAAACACCCGAAACACACCCTGATCAACCAACTACTGCCCACGTTCCCTGCACTAGCAGTCCGCGCTGTGTAGGTTACGTGAAGTAAGAAAGAAGTAGAAAGTAAATGGAAGATAAAGGGGAATGAAAGTCATTAAAATGAAGGATAACACCAAAGAGTGAAGATAATGACAGAATAAGAACTGAAAGTTTGAAGATGGATATGGTCAGGAGAAGGGAAAGGTTTCGTGTTGCCACCCAAGAGCGTCTAACTGACGCTCGAAACCCTTAACCGTAGGTTCACTGACTACATTTTCTGGAAGCGAGTTCCAGCGCTCGATAACTCTACGCGATAACCGAGTTTCCGCCCTGATCCCGTCAGAACGCGGCTTGTGTAGCTTCATGGGATGACCGCGAAGACAAGGCAACCTAGCCGGGCTAAATAGCCAGCGCAAGTCCGGCCCAACCTTCCCTGTTAAAATGCGGTAAGTAAGGATTAGGTCTCCTCGAAGCCGTCGGTAGTGCATTGAATACATACCCAAGCTAAGTAGACGCTCGGGGTACGATTGCCCCCGTAACCCCTCGACCAATTTGGTACCTACTCTCAAAACCCTCTCAAGCTCCATTTTGTCCCGAACAAGGCAGGGCGCGCAAGCCTGGACGCAGTATTCCAGATGGGGCCGAACGAAAGCTGAGAATAGCTTCACAAATATGTCGGCAGTTAAGACCCCGAAAGAACGGCGTATTAACCATAACATTCTGAAACCCCTACTAGCGGCCTTCTTCCAGTTGTCACCAGAATGCAAAGACGAGGAATGAACGACACCTAGATCTATCTGGTTGGAGACAAGGGGGAGTTCGACCCCACCGAGTACGTAGCTCGAAGGCGGGAAAGTTGCTCCTATACGAAGGACGGAACACTTAGCCTGATTTATGGGCAGTAGCCACAAAGTAGACCAGTCCCAGAGTCTGTCCAGTGCACGCTGTATGGCCTCAGAACCCCCAGGAACATTTACAACATTCCATAGCTTAAGGTCATCAGCAAACAATAAGGATGATACCCCAAGCTCTCCAGGGAGATCGTTTACGTAGATGGAGAACAGCATCGGTCCAAGGACCGAGCCCTGTGGGACACCGCTAAGGACCGCTTGCTTAAAGGATAAGCTGCGACCCACACGTACACACTGCTCTCTTCCCTGCAAAAACGCAGATACCCAGTGAAGGGCGCGGCCAGATACGCCGTAGGACCTCAGCTTATGTGATAGCCTCAAGTGGGGTACCTTATCAAATGCTTTCGAGAAGTCTACGAAAAGCACATCCACTACGTGGCCATTGTCCACTGCCTCGGCCCAAGCTTCACGAGCAACCAACAAATTCGTCAAACACGAAAACCCCTTCCGGAATCCATGTTGTGCACTACTGAGCAGATTAAATCTATTCAGGTGACATTCCAACGAATCTCTCACCAGCTTTTCAAGCAGTTTGACCACGACGCTAGTCAGACTAACTGGCCTATAATTGGCTGACAGACTCCTGTCGCCATTTTTGAAGATAGGACAGATGACAGCCTCCTTCCATTCGGAAGGTAATGTACAGGTGTCAAGTGATTTCTGAAACACCATCGTCAGCGGTCCACTTAGTTCCCCCGCCAACTCATGCAGAAGCTTCGGGTGAATTGAATCAGGTCCAGCTGCTTTGGAAGGGTTCAGTTCTTGCAGCAGTTTAAGGACTTGCGTTTCCACCACAGTAAACTCAGCTAAATAAGAACCATCAGGTACTCTGGGGACAAATTCAACGCTAGTCAACGCGGCCTCACGTACAAAAGCCCCTGCATACTGTTCCCCAAGTACACGAGCCTTATCTGAGTCCGCATACGCACGAGTTCCATCGGCCCTCATCAAAGTTGGGATTACCGAAGTTGAACCACAGCGTCTCTTAACATAAGCGAAGAACTTCTTCGGATTTTCCGAAGCTCCGTCAGCCAATTCCTTTTCGTACACCAGCCGAGCTTTCCTTAAGTGTTGTTTACACCTATTTCTAGCCTCGCGGTACCTAGCATAGGTGCTAGTTGATGGAGCCGCACGGTAGGTCCTCCAG